GCACGCATATGCAAAGTGTTCGTCCCCCTCTGGGCTGTTAAAGTCGTATTATCAAAACATGACCGGATGAAGTGATGTTTTAGGGAAACAAAGTAAGGGTCTTAATAATGTATTATCAGGCTTTTCAGACTCATTTGGGAAACATGAGCCTTGGTCTTCTCAAATGAATAGTTTAAAGCATTGTTTCCCAAAGACGCGAATCAAGAGATTTATTTTTTTTTGGGTCGCCTTGTCCCGATCAACATGTCGGTCTGCAATGTACAGTTGTTTACATCGATCTGTGACCTTATCTTCATTCTGGAGAAGCATTTCATCACAATCTCATGTCCTCAGTCGGGCAAGTGTTTCCGTGCTTATTCCTTTCACTTCTACATATGTGTGTGAATTGGGAATTTTCTGTGCTCACAAAATGAAAACAAAACATAGAAGCAGACTGAATCCTGCGCCTGATCTGCTGCTGCGCTCTCCTCCTGCAACCGAACCAAAACACGCTACAAAACACAGAAAGGGAAACCTATCGCATAAAAAATGTTGAAATGTTAAGACATGTTTTGTAGCATTTCTAATCTTTTTGTAATTATTTTATTGACTATTTTGTTTCAATATTACTGCTTCAATTGAACTCTGAAAAGAAACAGAAATGGGCTACATTTAATTTCCAAATAGTCAACTTATGGATCCTTTTATTGCTGCATCAGTGACTGTTTTTCATTGTTTAAAACTTGAGTAATACTAATTGTTCAGAGACATGATCACTCAGTCAACAATAAAATATCCTCATTAATGCTCAAATCCACCTTTATTTTGTGATTTATGAATAATGTCTATTTGTAAAGGGGTTGCAAAGGTTTGTGACTTTTTAAATATTGGTCCCCAAAAGGTTTGGGAAATACTACTTTAAAGGACTTTATTTATTTAGGCCTCTATTCACGCTCACATCAAAAACCAGGAAGACGTTTGGAAACACACGATGGCAACTTCCCGCCCAGTTTTCTTCATCTCCATGTCCTTGTAGTGTTCTGTTATGTTCGAATAATCAACAGTTACAACCATACCTCAGTTTTCATCATTTCCCCACTGACGCACAACTCCAAGCACTGGAGCGTGGAGTTCTGCATCGGCAGTGTTGGGAAGGTTACTTTTAAAATGTTTTCACCTACAGATTACAGATTACATCCCCCAAAATGTAGTTTGTAACGTAATCCATTAAATTACTTAAAGTGAGTAACGTAATCTGAATACTTTGGATTACTTGATGCTGTCATGCTTTTTAAAACTACATGAATGTAACAACCACATCCTGAACATTCTTGTTTGTTCTCTTCAAATTGTCTGTTGAGCCCAGATCTCCATGAACAGGCAATTGTTTGCTGTAGAGAAGCAAAGACGAGGATCTGAACATAAGATGTTTTGTCTGCTTAAAGACAGTAAAAAGTTCAGTCTTTCCTTAACCAAATAAAAAATATTATTGACAGAGATCACTATATGAGATCACTGCTGAATTCAATTATGTCCACCGTACTGTTAGGTGTCATATTGTTTAGACCTGGTTTAGTTCTGGTTTAGTCCTGGTTTAACCCAAAATGTGAAAACAGGAAAATATCGCCATTTAATCCATTTATTTTAACAAAGTAACTGTAATCCAATTACCACTCATTGAAACAGTAACTGTAACTGCCGGTACATGCCATTACTCCCCAACACTTTCGCCCGCGGTTACCCAATCGTCTATGCGGGTGCAACAAGTGAACCGTATCGATGGTGGAACCGTAACGATGGCGTTTCACCGCTGCTGATATCGCTGTGATTTTAGCGAATTTGTATGAAGAAAAACTAAAAATCCACCACTTCAGTCCAGGTGAAAAGATGCTTACTGCTTATGCTTACATTACTGACATTTGTACCGAGTAAAATATTACAATTTTTTTACTGCGTTACAGCAAAAAAGCAATACATTACAGTAATTCATTACTTTTATAACACATTACTCCCAACACTGTTAAGAATGGAAAACGAAGCTGGAGTTTTGGAGATTCAGACATTGTGTTAAAAACCATTTCATCTTAAAACTTTTTTACATATCTTCATTTTGTCGTATAGAATTTATTTGTGAAGAAATATAAATAGTTTAGTACAGACTGCCTGCGAATACTTCCACAACCACGTGCCTAATGCCATAAGCCGTCCACCGAGAGCTCACACCTTTATATGTGAAAACACGTTATTTAAACTCACCATCTGCTTTCATTATAATCTACTTTTTGTTCCATTATCATCACGTTTTAAATGGCTCATGTGACACTAATTTCGATCTACATTATAATGTTGTTTCCTCCTCACAAACAGACCTGGAGGTGTGTTTTGTTTTGTTTCATTCACACATTTTTAACACAAACAATGTCACGTCATACAGGAGCTTTAATGATATAATATTAGAACTGTTCTCAGTGTCCTCACAACCCACAAAGTTATTAGCAACTGCTGCGTTTATTTGTTAATTAAATCTGTTGGTGTTTTTTTCTTTTTTTCGTTTTTGGAAGAAGCCTAAATAGAATTGTCATAATAAGACTAATGATAAATTCTGTAATCGACTGCTTTCTGTTAATTATAAGATACTTTTGGCACATTATGAGAGGAGGAATTACAAAATCACTGGCCTCAACTCACTGATTTTTGTTTAATAATTTTCCACAGCTTCATTAATTTTTTTAGTAATTACATTTAAAAAAGTAACTTGCAACAACAAACACATCAGCCACATGTTCCATAATTAACCCAGTGTGATATATCAGATCTGTTTCATCAAATATGTCGCCTTTAAAGGGGCTGTTTTACTTCTTTCGGGTATTAACAAACACATCACATTTTTACATTACCATTTTCCCTTTTATTGTTTTGAAATTGCTATATTCACAGAAAAAAACATTATGAACATGTTTTATATGTTTCTGTTTAGTTTTTGATGCTCTGAGAGCCCTCTCACCCCCCCTTCAGAGCACTACCACAACGCAATCAGAGTGTATTTTGCTAAAGAAACTACTGCACATCGCATCAGGTTTGTGAAGTTGTAGTATCTTGTTTTGTATCATGCTTGTGTTTATTTGTGGAGAGTTGTCGTGTGGGAGCATGGATGATTTGTGGTCTGTGTTTTGGATAGAATCGTACTAACTGTGGCCATATCATCTTGTCAAAGCCTGACCACTGGGAATTCCAGGTGCCACAAGGGGGCGCCAGTTCGCTAAAACTGTCGTTGTGTCCATAGTCAAGGCACTTTGCCTAGTAAGAAAGTGGAAAGAGGAATGTGTGTGTTGGTGGTGGTCAGAGTTAGCCTGATTCATCAGCCGGGTTTCACTTTGTGGAAACTGTCTGACTTTGCAAGTATTAGAATTTGTTCGCTCGATGGTAGGCAGGTAGGTACTTTTTTTATTTAACCAATCACTGCTATTTGGTCTTGACGTATGTAATGCACCGCTAACGAGGCTAACTGGTATATTAAGCTTTTCCTAAATGGGAAATAACGTCTTTCACCTTGATAAAATTCACCAAACATTCTCTTTATTACGACTTTAAATCCTCGATCTCGGGAATCGTTGCCAACACAGAATGTATGGCTCTTCACTGATTGGCTGGTACCCAAACTCACACTTTCGGGATTCTTGCAAATCATCTAGTGTATTCCAATTCCTGACCTATAGGCGAGTTTCAGCTGACGTCATTGTTATTAAAAGCCCGCGTTGCATGCTGGGAAATATTTTATTCGGCGGCAAGAAACAGGACAGCGGTCAAACACAGTGCGTAACCTTGCGTATTTATCCCCAGTAATGGTCAATTCCTGCTGCATTATCGGATGCACAAATAGACGCACGGAAGAAGGAAAATGTCTTTTTCGTATTCCGAGTGAAAAGAACCGCTAACGGCGAATTAAACGGCTTTCAAACATTCGCAGAGCAAACGTAGAAGATCCTAACAAACCGTGGAGTCCAACAAGTTCAACAACACATCGAGACTCTTGGAGGTTTTCATCTTTTCTGCTGTGAATGGCCCAGGAGTTTCCACCAAGTCATTGTGGATATCACCAAAGTGAATATTTGTCCAGGTAGTTGGAGATTCTGACCAGAAATTTGGTTTGGTCCACATTTTGTAGGGGTTGAAAAGGGTGATTTGGCTCCATCGATGCTTATGACCAATTTCTGGTCAAATCGTCTTGGGTCCTCTGCCGTTAGAGTGGATAAATAACCAGGATCAATACCCTTTACGTGCTTTTTCGCTTTTTAGTGTTTCTTGCCGCTGACCAAAATAATTCCCAGCTTTTGTCAACAATGAAACTCGCCTATTTGCTAGAGAGAAATTAAATTGAGCGGAGGCACTAGATGGCACCAGCCTGATTAGGTCAGAGGGGCTGATGGTGCAGACTGGCAGCTTCGCTTCCAACAATCTGTCCCAGGGCAGCTGTGCCTAAAATAGTACCTTACCTCTATCAAGTGTGGAGTGAATGAATGAATGATGCAATGTAATGTCTTTGGATGTCATGAAAGGCGCTATATAAATGCTGTGATTAAATAACAGCTGTAAGGAGGTTTTGAAAAGGACCTGGGAGAGATCGCTAGATTACATAAAACATCCACGGATGACGTATAAGGCATCTTCAGGCATATTTTTGACAAGTTTCGGCCCTTATTAACATTGTGGTTTATTATGAAATTATCTCTCATTATGCCATATCTGCTTCCCGTGTCTAACCAGAAATTAAAAGCACATGATTCCACCTTGTGATGTCAGTAGATAATCATACAGCAAAACACTTCTCCATGACATGTCAATCTCATAACTCCAGAAATCAGATAATGATCAGATTTTTGGTGCAGAGATAAACATGACCAGTGAATTACTTTAACTAGCTATCCCACTGACAGTATTTGATGCTGCCAAACATGAAAAAAATCTAAATCTAAAACCCTGAATAATGCATGACGTGTAGGAGCATTACACAGTGTTCTCACCATAGAGAGGTCCAGTGGTTTTCCATCTTTGGTCCATTCCACTCGCAGCAGAGGAGGCTGAGCGACCGTGGGGCAGGTGACCAGGCCCTCTTTACCCGTGGGGAGGTAGGTGTCCTGGGGCGTCTGCAGGGCCTGAGCTGGGTCTGAGAGAGGACACAGTGAGTTATTAAAGAGGATGTAATATGCAAAATAGATGTTTTGAGTTTTCTACCATTTCATAACATTTACAGGTTTCACATGTCATAAGATTCTGTGCAATGTTACAATAGATGCATCACGAATTTCGGACTTCCGGTCATTGCACAATGCATACTGGGAAGGATTTTCCAAAAAAAGTGAGCATCAAACCGCAGTCTTTGTTTTCCCAGTGGGATGCTTCTATTGTCAAAGCCGATCTTTTCAAGTCTTTTGAACGATATTGCTTTTGTTTCTGGTTCTGATATCATCGTATTTTAGTTTTAGGATTCGGGCATCATAATTGTGTGGTTGTTGGATGTCCTAACAGGAGAAAACGGCTCGAGAAATGGGCTTTGGAAGTTTGCAAACTCCATAAATGCAAAAGAGAATCAGATCTGTATGTGACTGCAAACCTCTGTTCAAACTGTTTCCCTTCCCAACGAAATTGAACAATAGTGAAACACGAAGGTGATGGGCAGGATTGATACACAGGAAGGATGAAAAAGGAAACTTTTGGCTGCCTAAGAAATCATCCTGAGTTTGCTGCGAACATTTTGTATGTGGAGCGCTCAACCATGGTTATGAATTTAAAAAGTCAACACCAAAGCAAAAGGCACCAGCTGTTCACCAAAAAACACCTTCCACTGCAAAGAGACCAAGACGTGATGTTGCTGTAAAACCACAAGAACAAGAAAGTGCGAGTTCAGCCTGTTTGTCTTCTGCACCTCTCACCTAACAAACAGGATCCTGTTTTGATGGTGCTCCATATACAAAATGCTCACTGCAAACTCAGGATGATTTCTTAGGCAGCCAAAGGTTTCCTTTTGGTCCTTCCTGTGTATCAATCCTGCCCTTCCCCTTTCACTATTTTTCAATTCCGTTGGGAAGGGAAACAGTTTGAACAGAGGTTTGCAGACACACACAGATCGGATTCCATTTTGCAGTTATGGAGTTTGCAAACTTCCAAAGCCCATTTCTCGAGCTTTTTTCTGCTGTTAGGACATCCAACAACCACACAATTACAATGTCTGAATACCATAACTAAATGGTGATTATTCTGTGATAGCGCTCTGAAGGGGGAGTAACTTAACGTGGGGAACAAAGGGGGGAGAGACTTAAAGTATAGTAATTACCCTCTCTTTGTAACATGCTAAAAGTATAGGGTTTTAAACGCTGGAATGTCAATACAAAATATTATCGAACTATAAAACTGATTATTTTCCGAGAACCAGGAAGTGCGTGTTAGCATGCTAGTTGTTTTTAGCACCACCGTGATAACAAAACTATGCTCTGGTGTCTGAAAGTTGTGAAAGGTGATTATAAACTGAATAATTAGCATATTCAGAATAACTTTTGACCACTGCAAAATGTTTAAAATGACTGCTCTTTTTTTTTTTTTTTTTTTTTTTTTTTTTTTACATTTTAAGATCGTAAAAATCTGATACAGCAGCTATAAGACTAATTCTGTTTGGCATTAAACTTTGCTATCTTGCATTTTATTCTATTACATTCAATTACAAAATCTGATTTCTAACTTGGCCTGATTTCAAATGACATCACAACATTTTAGAGGCCAATAATAGTGAATACAGAAAGGGCCAGCTAAAGGTGTATGGAGTGTAAAATTAAAAAAAAAAAAAAATAACTCAAAAACTGCTGCTTTATTAGAACTGTTGGGGAAGTTACTTCAAAATGTATGTGTTATTTTTATGACTTGTTGCTGTCCTTTCAAAGTAATTTATTACATTACAATATTATTGTATTTAAAATGTAAGACGATACACGACTGTTGTATTATTTTGAAGAAACTCTCACCAAAATAACTGCAAAGATGCAAAACTTTTGTGACATATATGGACTGAACCAGGTCTAAACCAGGACTAAACCAGGTGTAAACGAGGTCTAAACCATGACTAAACCAGGACTATACCAGAACTGAACCAGATCTTAAACAGGACTGGACTAGGATTAAACCAGAACTGAACCAGGACTAAACCAGGTCTAAACCAGATCTAAACCAAGACTGAACCAGAGCTGAACCAGAACTGAACCAGGACTAAACCAGGACCAAACCAGGACTATCTTGAACTCGGACTTGGAATTTAGGACCGCCCCTTGAGAGAACCCCAAGCTCATGGAGCTCAAAGCGCGATCGGGCATCAGCTGTGATTCGCCCCATGGAGCGTGGAGCTCTGCGCCGCTCCTTTCGTCCGCGGTCACCCAACGGTCTACACGGGCGCACCTCCAGGCCCGTCCTGACATTCGGAACCGTAACGATGGCATTTTACCACTGCTGATATTGCGGTGATTTTAGCAAATTTGAAAGAAGAAAAATGAAAAACCCACCACTTCAGTCCAGGTTAAATATGTTTACTGCTTATGCTTATGTTACTGACATTTGTACTGAGTAAAATATGATCAGTTTTTTCCCTGTAATGCCGAACATTACTGCGTTACAGCAAAAACCAATGCATTACAGTAATCTGTTACTTTTATTACACATTACTTCCAACACGGTTTGTGACATCACAAAGTGGAACAAAGCATTTTGAGCTTTGGAGATGTAGACAAACAAATAATCAAGGGTTTCTCAAACGTATGAATGAAACAAATCACTACTCGAGGCATGTTTTTGATAAGATAATAACATTATAACATGACTAAAATCTCACAAGAGTCAATTTTGCGTAATATAGGACCTTTAAGAATAATTTTGCACAACATTAAAATGATTTATGCCGCGTTTATTCAATCGCGCTGAAAAAAAATGCATTCATCTGCCTTGACCTGCTCGTCTCCACGGAAATACAGGCTAAGCGTCAACATCACCATGAAGACGAGCGGGTCGCAAAATTACACAGCGCCCCTTTAATAGCAGTCATTTCTTGAAGTCCACTGCCCCGAAACAAAGCAGAGGATCATGGTCTACGTAGTGCGCACCATCAGATTTTTCCTCATTCCACTCAAACAATACATTTTGGACCCTGAAATCCAATACATCGCGCAAACCCACAATTGGCCCCGTCGATATCGCAGTATTTCTGTAATAGCTGGTATTATGCTCGTCTTTACCGCTTTATTCGCGCATCTATGGCCAATTTGACGTCCTAGAAATGACTGCTTATCGCACATTTTCGCTCAAAGTCCCATCCTTCAGTCGGTATGATGGCTGCGCTCGGAGTGACGCGTCCTGCCTGTAAAACGCCGTGGACAATTTAAGAAAGGATTTATTTTGTTTTTCGCCGGTCTCCAAGCGCCCTTCGGGGGGAAAAGCGCTCTCCTACTGTTTCATGGACTGTTTCAAACGCTGATGCAAGAGCAGCGGGATGTTTACGGGGTGAGCACAAATGTTTTAATGGTCTGAGCCGTAACAAAGCGGAGGGAGAGGATGTTAGTTAGCCGTTAGCGCTAATGATAAACGCCATTTTGTTAGCGATTTCATGGCTTGTTAGAGGGGTTAGTTGTGGTTTGCTGGAGTGTTTACTAGCAGTTCTGGGGATCAGGGGGAATAGTTTGAGTAGGGTTGTTGAGTAATTAAAGCTAAAACTAGTATTAAAAACAGAATTTGGACGGTCCTATACTTCACAAAATTGACAAAATTGAAATTAAGATGTTATAACGCTGTTACCTCCTCAAAAACAGACCCGGATACCTGTGTTTTGTTTAATTCACACATGTTTAAGTAATTCTGTATTATTAACTATATATAGGGTGACCAAAGTTTTAAAATAATAAAAATAAAAAAACAACTTTGACATCCCTGGTTTTTTGTGGTTGGTAATAATAAAATTAATTAAGAACAATTGTTATACACTTGGCATTAATGTGAGTCAAATCTGTGTGTCATTCGTTCCTTAGTTTTTTCAATATAAAACCAAAACTAAGAAAATGAAAAAATAACTTTTTTTTTCATTATTTGTCTCCAAAACTAAAATGAAAAAATGGATAACGATTTGTTTTTTCATTTTTTGATTTTGTTTTTAAATGAATAATGGAAAAAACGGATAACGTCCGTTTCCTGTTTCCGTGACTTAAACTGCGATGCCGAACTTTTGCACCGTATACAGATTGAACCAGGACTAAATCAGGACTAAATCAGGACTAAACCAGGACTAAACCAGGACTAAAACAGGACTAAAACAGGTCTAAAACAGGACTGAACAGGTCTAAATCAGAATTGAACCAGGACTAATCCAAGTTTCAGTCCCGGTCTCAGTCCTGGTCTGAGTCCTGGTCTGAGTCCCGGTCTGAGTCCTGGTCTCAGTCCTAGTCTGGTCCCAGTTTGGTCCCAGTCTGGTCCCGGTTTCCCGATCACCTAACAGTCTACGCGGGCGCATGTCCAGGCCAGTCCTGACACTCCTGGTTCAGTCCTGGTCCCTGACACTGGGACTGGACCAGAACCAGGACCTTTAGACCTGGTTTGTTTAGACCTGTTTCAGTCTTGGTTTAGTCCAGCATTGCAGTTTAAGTCACAGAAAAGGAAAACGGCTGTTATTCGTTCTTTTCCATTTTTCATTTAAACACAAAACTAAAAATGAAAAAAAACAAATCACTATCCATTATTTCATTTTGGTTTTGGAGACAAATAATGAAGAAAATTATTTTTCGTTTTCTTATTTTTGTTTTTATATTGAAAAACGAATGAACGAATGATGCACGGATTGAGTCTGTATAGTCACATTTTCTTTGTGTTTTGGTCATTTTTAAGCAACTTTTCTGTATTTTACCAAAACAAATGACGATGTATGCCTCTCTTTACTGTTGGCAGGGATCAGATTAGTCAAAAATAGAGACACCTGGGACATTTCTTGTATAAAACTATGACAAATCACTGGTTTTGTTTAAATCTGCTGGGACAGGGGACTCGGGGCTCATAACTGGTACTGTCCCGGGTAAATAGGGACACCTGGTCATCTTAAACTAGTAAAAAAATAGAATTTGATAGTTCCTATAACTGCACAAAACT